TTTAGCGCCATTTTGGGAGTCAAACATCAAAAACTTGAAAAATGACCGCAAAAATTTGAAAAATTTGTCTTTTTTATTGAAATTTCTACATTTTTTTTTTCTCGTTTTTCTGGTCATTTTTCTACATGAACTGCTTTCCAATTGGCTCATTTTACTATGATTGTGTGTGGAATATACCTAAACTCTCTTTTTGCGTTCAGATTTTTTAATCATACCACGCAGAAAAAAGCATGACACTAATTTGAAGAAAGAAAAACAAGTTTCTACTTTTTTTCTGTGACTATGGTCTGAATATTCTGTTCTATTTGTAACCGTAACCGGCTATCCTTGTTTGTTTTGCAAAATATTGAGCTCAAAATTCAACCCCACGAAAAGGCCGTTTTTATTGAAGTGAATCAACAATTGCACCCAAACAACCGGGTCAATTGCAAAAAAATTAAATCGAAACAAGCCTCCTAAAAAGTCCAAGAATATTTGAAAAAGTATAATCTCCAGGGTTTTAAAAAAGTATTAAAAAAACAAATTAAAGAAAAATTCTTATTTGAAATAGTGAAAAGGAAATTTTTTGGCTATCATAGAGAAAATTTTTGTTTGTACAAAACTTAGAAGATAATGTTGAATTTTCTTGAACTTCAAAGAAGGGGTTCTCTTTGATTTATTTTTATGTGCAATTGACTCTGAAAATTTCGTATTATTTTTGATTGACTACAATTAAAGCAAAAATTTTCCGATTTGGGGTTTAATTTGTGGCATCACTTTTAATTTTATAAAATTTTAGACAATTTCTTAAAAGTTTAGACAAGTTGTAGGCATGGTTTATGCGTTGTTTTCTTTCGAGCCAAATCAACTTCCAAATGCTATGTTTAGTAGAAAAAAGATGAAATTTGCACTCAGCAAAACATTAAATAGACGAACAGCTTACGCGTTAATAGTACGATTATATTCCACGTATTATCCCAAGTTGTTCAAGTTAACAACCTCCATAATTTTACAAAAAAAGGTCACCGCCGGCGAAGAAACTTTTTTTTAAGTTTGAGCTCAGGGCAGCAATATGTTTTATATGGTACAAAAAAATTCTGTCAGAACTTTTATTTAAAAATAACGAATTTGTCTGGAGAAAACCAACGCTCGAGCACAATTATCCATCGCGTTATTCTAAAATCGGAACAATAAATGTGCTACTAGAGTCAAGTTAATTAAATTTGTAAACAAATAAAGATTTTCAATTTTCAAATTGAATAACAAAGCGAAACGTAGGCTAACTGGGTCTTTTTACACTAACAGTCCCAATGTGCATAGTAAAAAAAACACTAACATCGAAGTCAAAACGCTTGCAAACAATAAAGTGTTATTCAAAATCAAATAAATAGCTGATGTGATTAGATTCTTGCGTTTATTTTATTGAGGCGTCTTATGATTCCGAAAAAAAAATTGGATGCCAAAAAGTCCGAAAATTTAAAGGACGACAATTTCAATTATAATTTGTGTTAAAGCAAAAATGTTTAGTTATTTGCCTGTTATGATTTTTGCACTGGAGTTATATGAATAATAGTTGATTTTATTTGGTTATCATGGTCAGTCTCGAAATCAAAAATAGTTTTTCATAATCAATTAAAAAGGAACAAAAAATTTCTTTTTTTTTTTGTGCGTGTGTCAAATCAATACAACCCGTTTCAAGTGTCTGAACTTGTCTGTATTTTCAAACGAAGTGCAGTGTTCTTAAAAGTACTTAGGACAGCTTCTTTTGGCCTAACACACGTTTTTTATAGAAAATTGCAAAACTGGCTGAGAAAATTGTAAACTGTTTTAGTTTTCATTTTATTTCCTTCACACGTCTTTTCTTATACAATCTCTTAATTTCTAATGTTATTTACAGCTTAATTATCTAGTTTACTTATTTACTTCCCCATCTTATGTTTAGCTTCCTTTCAAAACAAAAAACCAACACCCCCCCCCCCCTCTCCCTGGTTTTCGAGGTTACATGCGTCATGAAAGTTGATTATATCGGTTTTTTGCTACTTTTTCCATTATAATCGAAAATTTTCCTGGAAACTCCAGTGCGGTGGGCTCTTTTAGCGTTGGTCTTAAGTATGTCTTGCATTTATTTTAAGAATACTTCGAATTATACTTCTGTTTGTGCTATGCTAACTGTCATAGTTGAAATTTAAATTGGGCTGCATCGGCGAGTGTAAGCGTTTGTTGTGCGTAGCACGTAATTTCTACCCCGTTGACTGGCAAACAAGACGAGAGCCGTTAAGACGACAGTTTTTTTTATGGGACTTCAAGAGGACGCTACGCGCAACTCTCCACATTGTATTTCTGAGAAATTTAAAGCGCTTAAATTCGTACTGCTCATTTTACGTGTAATTACACTTATTTGTCGTCTTAATGTCTTGCCGTCTTAGTGGCCTGTCGTCTTTTTTACCTAGCACAGTTTGCCTCAGTACTCTTACCGGAAGAAAACTTTCAGTTGTGATTGGTTAAGTTGAAAAAGACTTCAAGACAGAAAACAATCTTTCATTTAATCATTAGAGGTGCTAGCAACTAGTTTTTGGGCGGAATAAGGAAAAAGATTCTCCGGAAGTTTTAACTAAACAGAACATCTTGATGGCTTTGTAGCGTTGTATTGACAAACCATGATCTCTTGAGCGAACTACATAAGTACCCGCATCCAGTTTCAAGCGTTAATAATTGATTATATTACGGTTTTAGTACCTGTCTTACTAAAATTGAGAAACAATCGATTTTGATCAATTAATAATTGGTTATAATCTCTCTTTTCAAAATCAAATTGTAATTAATTATAATCCATTATAATCAATTATTTATATGTAAATTTTCGATACAATTATAATCAATTATAATTGATTATAATTCATTATTTTTATTCAAATTTCTGATTCATTAGTTTTGCATAAAAATCCGTTTTAATCGATTGTAATTGATTTTAATCCCTTTTGTTTGTCAATTATGTCTTCGAAGTTGCATCTAATTTTCTTATATTTTCTGTTTTTTGTAGACGTTGGTTCCCATGAAAAATGAGACAAATGTTTTTAAAGTTTTCCAATCAATGCAAAATCATAAGATTTTTTTTTCATTTTTTTTTCGTTAGAGTTGTTTTGTGATGCATATTTTAAGCTTTTTTAACCACCAAAACATCAGCAAATTGATTTAGTTTCATGATTGATTCGGAAGATTTATTTTTCATCTACCGCGGGAAATTTTCCACTAATATGAAACGATCTTCGAACTTTTGTTTCGTGGTGAAACTTTTGTTCAGATGAACCAAAATGTTCAAGGATCTCTCTTTTAGAGATTTTCTTACTGACACAAAAAATAACCCATAAAATATAATTCGAATATGATTTTGAATTGACAAAATATCGGTAAAATAAGAGATTATAATTGATTATAATCGGTTATAATTGATTTTAAGGGTTTATTGTAAGAGCTATAATCAATTATAATCGATTATAAGAGATTATAAACTCTTGAAAAGTATCACGATTATAGTCAATTATAAACCCTTTAAACGCCTAGTTTTGGTAATTATAATCAATTATAATTGTCAAAAAACTATCATAATAATCTGTTATAATCGATTACTTACGCCTAAACTTGGATGCGGGTAGTTCAATCATTACACTTTAATTTAATGACTGAACTGCTTACTCTAGTTTGCTATCAATATCATGGTTTGTCAATATATCACGCAACAAGGCGACCAACTATTTTCTTGCGAGACACCATAGACTGAAGTCAAATAAAATTTCCAATCCAGAAAAGTTTGAAGTTACGAGTAAACCATTCGCGTGCCAGGGATGGCGTGGAATGACCGCTCTTATTTCAATTCTGGTTGCCAACGTTTTCCAAACATACCATACCCACACCGTGCGCCCATGGATTCTAGCGATTATAATGGATTCCCGAGACAAAAATGATCCATTATAATCCATTACAGATGTAAATTTCAAACCACGAAATTGATTATTTTGCCATTATAATCGATTATTTTTGAAAAAAAAAATCCATTATTTTCAATTAAAATCGACTATACTCTATTATTTTCGGCACTCAAATCGATACGTTTTGCCAAGATAATCCATTATAATGGATAATTTTTTTGAGAAAAAACATTATAATCTATTATAGTCGATTGTAATACATTTTATTCTTAGAACTAAATTCGATTAACTTAGCAGAAATTTTCCAAATTTTGCGGGAAATTTTCAAAATGTATGCTTTGCTTTTTACTAAACGCCATGTTTCAACGTCACCCCTCACTAAAGAGGGGAGTGCTAAACTGGGTGTGTCAATCATTAACCCCCTCCCCAAAATAAACCAATAAATAACCCCTCCCCCTTGTTCAACTATAAGGGGGGGGGGGGGGGTGGCGGCGAATGGCAGTTGTGGTAAACTGGCAGGGGGTAAACGCTTCACTAATTACTATGCTTCTTTTTGCGGTATATTCTTTTTGCGCTCGAAATTAGGCCAAAACTCAAAGATTTCTAACTGGTTTTACTCGACACTGGGAAAATTTTTGAAGAGTTTTCAATTGTCATTTCAATCATGACTGAAAAGGCTTTAAAATGATATATAGCTCGACCCATTCCGGTCATTATTTGTGGTACCTGATTTTCCGTGAAAACAAAAATTAAAAATTAAAAAAAAAAACTAAAGCACCCAATTTTACCGTTCCTCATCATTTCCAACAGTCGGAACCATGAGTGATAAATTGAGGTAGTTATGGAAATTTTAAAGAACATTGATTGGTAACTAATTTTGGCGCTTTCGAGTCTTCGCGCATGAGAATAGCCCCTGACATTACTCTATGAAATGTCCTAATATCGCCACAATTCATGATCAATTTCAAAGAGACTGAAGTATGCCCACTTTTTTGTTCTATTTATCATGTTTATTTTATGGCCACCTACGTTTTCCCCTCGTCGCTGTTAATTTTTACAAAGTTGTTTTAAAGTTGTTAAATTTTTAAATTTCAGCAATTCTGAAAATCTTCATCTACTTTCATCAGAGAATACCCACTTAGTCGTCGTATGTGATTCAAAATCAGCCGAAAAAGATGAAGGGCAGAATCATATTCGAGAGCTGCGTAGTTCATTTGAGGAGTGCTTGGTTGAAAAGCGTCGCCACAACCTACCCATTTTAAACGTCTTTGCCGGTGGATCCGATGCTGATATTAACAGGTACGGAAACTCTAAATTAGGCAGAAAGTTTATGTGGGTACCCAAGTGGCAGATCTAGGACTTTGTCGAATAAGGCGCAGATTTTCTTAAGGCAATAAAAAAAAACGTTCTTGATAAAGGAAGGTTTTGAACAGAACAACGCGCTTTTTCTGCGCGCGATACCCATGTGGTAACTTGATGGACTTAGATAAAAATTAGTGAAGATTTAATTCATCTTGAGAGTATAAATAAACAAGTAACATCAATATATCATGTCATGACAATTAAATTGTGTCTACTTAAATCTTGCATACGTTGACTAGAGAGAGTGAAAAAATAAAATACGCAGAATTGAACCGTTGTTTGACAGGTCGATAACGACCTTGATATCCAAAAATAGATTAACGAACTAAGATAAGTATGACGTCATGAATAATACAAACTAACACTGCACCACATTTCCCCCTCCAGAGAAAAAATCAAATGGTACATATGAACATAAATGAAAGGTAACAATTGTGATAACAGTTTAAAGCGAGAGCTATGTAGCTATTGATAAAGGTGAAGTACTCAAAAAAAATTTGACAAAGTTGCTAATGCGAGATTAATGGTTATTGAGTTTGAAATGACTGATTTTAATTTTCGTTTTTTTCTCATCGGATTGTCTGACGACAATTTAGCGGTTGGGAAACGAGTGTATATCATATGGCCTCACTGGATGAACCCACCATAAGCGGTTCCACTTGAGCAGATTCCACTTGGCCGGCGGCTTGGGCGAATCGGACCTTCTTATCCGGAAAAATCACAACTGGACTCCTTGAAACTTGTGGCAAATCAGATGGTGAACCAATAAAATTCACAGAATGCCGAATTTGGCTGCCGAAAAAAGAAGTTTATTTTTTTGACGACACGATGTGCGAGAGGAATTGGATGCCGAAGAAATATTGATATCGTTATCCGAGCCAGTTGCCAAAAAATGGCGACCTGAAGGGCCTGGTACTGCCGAATTCGATCCCTCAGAGCACTCTTGTGTTTTCGGGACTGAGGAATCATCATCTGAGGAGGTTGGAATCAGATCCGGGCAAGTCATAATTGAAGATTTGGACGGTTCGACGGTGAAGGAGCCTGAGCTTTAGTGCCCGACGCATCCAGAAGTAAATTTCTGACATAGAGGAACAGGCCGTAAGGTCCACAACAGGAGTAGTGTCGCGGATAATTTGACGAATACCTGGAGCGTCCGGAATGATGTCCTGAGCCGATTCACGTGATGACGAATTTGAACGCAGTGGCGTAGAAGCGATTGTCCTCCGGCGAAGTCGAGGAAGACGAAAACACAATGGGGCGTTTCTGCCCCTTTTTGACCGGCGTTGCCTGTTTTCCTTAAACACCTGCAGATCTTGATTAAAAACGCACCGCAATATGATTCTTTCTTATCACCTTATCTTTATCAGTAATATATGTAGACCAAGTAATTCTGACGATTTACCTTTGAAAGGTTTGAATCTTTCCCGGCCAGATTTCCTATTAAGAAATTTGAGAAATATATCCAGCTTGTTCGGAATATTAATAACTAAATAATCCAACTAACTTCTGGTTCGGCTGTCACATTGCTCCCAACGCTGTTCGGCAGCAAGAAGATCTCGCTCCAAATGTTGATTATCTAAATTAACACGCGAGGAAAAACGATTCGCCACAAGAGACAACTCTGTGGTGATGGTCGACCAAAGTCTAATTCAAAAAAATAAAAAAAAACCTATAACGGAGTTCTTAGTCACCCAAATATCTTCAATGATGTGCCGAAGTGTGTCTTGTACATTGGAAAAATCCAGATTCAATCTAAAAGCTCCCAAACGACGTTTGATGGTCTGAATAGAACGTTCCACAAAACCACAACCACGATGGTTACCGACCGGGCAGAATTGCTGACGAATATTTTGTTCCTTACAGAATGCTTGAACCAAATAATTTTTGGCACCCGAATACTGATCTGTTTTAATTTGTTGATTTGGGAATACTATGTTGTTGAATATTAGATTTCAAGAAATTAATTTTCTTTTTACCCCCAGTTGATTGCGTAATCATAGCTGACGGATACTTGGAGTACCGGTCGATCGCGACCAAGATGTATATATCATTACCTTCAGAATCAGAAGAGGACCCGCTTAATCGAGCTGGAGTTCCTCATTCGGGCCGAACAATAGAGATAAGGTGTGGACGATTTAAACGAAGCGTTAGCTTTAGGATTCTTACCAAATTTAGTACACTGAGGGCAGTCATTACACAGCTGAATAATTTCTCGATACCTCCGGGGCCACCAAATGTTTTGTGCCGCGTCCACCATGGTAACTTGTCCCGCGTGTGATCTGTGATGTCGTGCAAAAGGTGTGTTTGTAGACAATTTGGGATAGGAATCCGGTTGTTCTTCACAAAACAACCGTCTACTACTGCTGAACACTGCCAAAAAGATTTCAAGTACGCGTCGAATCTGCAAAAATTTTTGTTTTTATTGTTAATCAGAGCCCGTTTCATCAAACGAAGGCTAGGATCTTCGTCTGTAAGCTCTGACAACACATCTGCATCCAAAATTCTTGCTACACCTCACCGCGACTTCCGATCTGGAGCGACAACAGGAGACTTAAGAATGCCCAAGCTGAGGACTGGTTGTGTAGGTCGACCCACTGGACCAAATTTCCGCAGCCTCCGCCAGCTAAAGTTTGCCAGAATACGGGCGTACTGGCCCTTCAAAACCTCTGCACGCTATTTCATGTTGGTCGTTTCGGGCGAACTGCCCCTGAACGAAATCTCGGCCTCGCACGATCTGACGAGAACCACGACCGATTGATCGGCACGAACTGATTCAGCAATTGCTCAAAGCTATCATCTCGCGAAGGTTTCATACTGACAGTCTGAAAAACGAATAGCTTAAAGAAAACCAAACTCCAGTAAACCCAAGTGATATTGGAAATCGAGAAAACTCCGATTAGATAAATAAATGACGGAAACCAATTGACCACTGCGATAAATAACCAAAAGAATAACCAGAATGGCCAGCAAATTAGAAAATTCCACTTCTTGCTCTAACGCCGCTCCCAAAACACTGTGACTAGCATAGCATTTTACCCTTGTGTTAGGATTTTGGTCATATTGGAACATTTTCGTGATATTGGCTATCAGTTGAAGAATGTTGGAAAAGTTAGACTGTTGCACGTCCCACCATAAGAACTTGTTTTTTTTACTCGCCTTCAATAACAAGCAGAGTTGGTCCGAATTGACCTGGAGGTTTGGCAGAAATCTTTACAATTGATTGAGTATGCCCATAAATGACCGAAGTTGTTCTAACGTCTTTGGTTGTTCAAGAGCTAACACTGCATCGATTTTAGATCGCTTCGGTCTGTAACCTTCTGAATTGATGTCGAAGCCCAACCACGGCTCATGATTTGAGGAAAATTCACGATTCGAAAATTCAAGGGCAAATCTTTCCTCCTCTAGCCTGACGAACACTTTATCCACCAGAATATTGTGATCCACCACTGAGCCTTTCGAAACGATAAGAATATCGTCCAAGAAAAAAAACTCCCGACAACCGCTGAAGATTATTGTCCATCACTTTTTGGAATTCTTTGGGCATAAAGGTAAGTCCATAAAAGCCAGTCTTGAAATGATAAGTCCCTGTTTGTTCCCCACAAAATTTGTTGAAATTACATTGGCTACTAACGACATCACTCAGTGGAATTTGACTGAATGCATATTTCAGATCCAACGACCTGAACCAAACATCACCATTCTTATTCGACGTGACTATCTGGGCAGTTGAGTCCAACAACTCCAATATGTTTGGCATTTGATATTGGTTCTTATGGATTTGATCATTCATAAGTTTCGCATCCATTGCCAACTTAACCGATCCATCTGTCTTCGCTGTGATCACAATCGGAGATATAAAATGTTCACCCGTGCATTTGTTTAGTCTCACAATGTGGCCTTCTTGAATTCGTTTCCGAATTTCATTTCCAACTTTGTTCTGAATATGAACACGAACCCGCCTACCTTTTTCTTGACAGGGAAGAAGCGGCGACCTGAATTTGGAGAAAACTTGATGATTCTTTCCTGTGCCAATGCGAGAAAAAAAATGTTGAAACTTCTTGTGATAATGCGATCTCCAAAACTCCGACGTCTCATTCGTGTCCGACTAGGAAATTTCGCCCACCAGTGGTCTGAGCGGTCTTACATGCGTTGTCCGGACCCCCAATTGAGATTGCAACTCTAGACCCAGCAGAAAACGCGTGCAAATCTCCGAAATGAGAATTTTGGCTGACTTCACATTCCAGCCCATCAGCTCAATTCGTTTCCGATTATAGTCAACATACACTAAGTCTATCGGATATTCCTTTTCAATGATAACTACTGCTGAAGGCAGTGATTTTACGATGTGTTCTACCGTTCTCCTATTTACAAAGGAAGCAGGGCTTCTTGTATCAACCTTGGCTTTGAAAAATATCTGATTGCAACGAAGAGTGATTTGTATACAACGCAATTTTCCTGTAGCCGAATAGACAACTTCCAGTTTCTTCACCAATTCAGCAATGGGAAAAGACTTAAGTGGGCGAGAGACAGCTTCCACCGCCATGACTGCAAATTCTGATTCACTATCAGACGTAATGAAATTGCAGGTCTCCTCAGTAGTCTCATCCGATTCCGCGTCTACATTAGCCAAATTTTTGGAGTTGCAACATTTTGCAAAATGACCTTTCTTGCTGCAGTTTTTACAAGTGACAATTCTTGCCGGACAACTTTGCTTGTGATTGGTGGAAAACCTATTGCCACAGAAATAGCAAAGCTTAGTATCTTTTGAGTTGACGTTTCCTTTCGGCCTACTGTTCAACTGAGCCCGATTGATCCGATCAGATAGTTTCTTCACCTGCACCGATTATGTTATTTCCTGCTTATTGCGTACATTCTGGGCCAAACTGGACCCCCTATGGGAGAAGCTGCCCGTTACTGACGGAGATCCAAGTTGTTTTTATAAACATGATGCGGTTTGGGCCCCCTTCTCCTGCAACAATGCCGACTTTATAGTTTCTTCTGGAATGTTACCTGGACGAATGCATAATTCACGTTGAATATCCTTATAACGCGTTTTCGCGATGAAGGTATCTCGCACGACTTCTTTCTATTGATCTATCGTCCAACCACACAGGGCTGCGACCCGTAAGACGCAACTGGAAAGCTTCTAGACTCTCACGATCGGCGTTATAAAATTGAAGACGTTCAATGATAAAGTTTTTCTCCTTTTAAAGAGAAGAACACAGTTATCATAAAAGTATTTAGATGAAATAGCACTAAGATCCACATGAGGATAACTCTGAAGAAAGCGTTTTCTACCTTCAGAACTCAGGGAAAAAAAGACGAGATTTGATGCGTTGTTGAACCTCATAGAAAAAGACACTCGGAGCAACTCTGGGGCCTTTAGCTCGCCGTTCTTCATTAAGCTCGTCCACTCTGTGAACAGCTGCCTCGTCTCTGGCATCCCAACTAGCTGTTCATGCCGCATCCTCAGTAGTTTCAACGACCTCCGGTTTTGGGGCCGGATCATCGTGAACTTTTCACGGCGGTCTTAACAATTCGCGGGGATCGCAACGCTCCCGCAGAATGATGGCAAGGTTGAATTGCCCTATCCATGAATCCCAACTACTGGGTGGATCGGACCTTGGTTTGTGCCAAAAAACTGGAACACCTAATAGGTCAGTCCGGTCGTCTGAAACAGGAACTGCTGGCTGCGCCATGTGGTAACTTGATGGACTAAGACAAAATTAGTTAAGATTTGATTCATCATGAGTGTATAAATAAAAAAGAAACATCAATATATCATGTCATGACAATTAAACTGTGTCAACCCAAACCTTGCATAAGTTGACTAGAGAGAGTGAATAAATAAGCTGCGTAGAATTGAGCCGTTGTTTGACAGGTTGATAACGACCTTGATATCCAAAAATAGAATAACGAACTACAATAAGCATGATGTCATGAATAATACAAACTAACACTGCACGACAACCCCTATCAAAATCGGCATATAATGGCCTTAAAACTTTTTGGGGACGACTAGCAAAAGATGATGTCCCAAAACAGTACCAAAGGGTAATCAGGGCGTCGACATCTTGAGGAAGAGAGCGTCCAACCCGCTCCCCCTTTTAAATCCACTACTGTGGGTACCAGTTTGGTGCTCATACTAGTTTTTGCTCCAACTTGTTGTTCCGAACATTTGAAAAATGGGGAGGAGTTTTGTATTTGGGTGTCTGTTAAACTTTTTCTTCTTTGGTTTTTGACACGAAATCAGCTGACACAGAAAATCATCGGAAAGTGTCGAGTGATATATCAAATTAAACCATTTGCAGTTGTGATTCGAATGACGTTTAAGCATTTCGAAAAAAATCCTCATTTATGAGAAAAATCTTGTTTGAATTTTTTGTTTTTTTGGTTTAATTTCGAGCGACTAAGGTGAGCGAGCAGGTTTAAAATATGGCTTATTTATAACTTATTTATACTTCATTTGAGCGTTAAAAACTTAGTTTGACTCAAGTAAAGTTATGTTTTGGAATTTGCTGGTGCCATTTTTGGAAAAATCCCTAACATTTTTTTTGCAAATTCACAAAAAATTGAAAAACATGAAAAGTTTTTGATGGTTCTACATTTTTTTTTGAATTTCTAATTTTTTTCTATAAAAACTGTTTTCCCATTTGCTTATTTTTTTATGACTGTCAAATATGCCTAAGTTCTAGAGAATTTTTTTTTCGTTTTTTCTAAGTCTATGGTCGGACATTCTGTTCTATTTGCGCAGTAACCGGCTATCCTTGTTATATTTTTTTCTGAGTAAAGAATTCTTTGATGAATTCTGATGTTTTGGAAGTCATGTTTTATAATTTCACCTGTTATCAGTATGATGCAGAAACTGGATAAAAACCAAATTGTCATCCTTCTCTCTGGTCTCGCCACAGACTCCAGCAAATTGAACTCGAAAAATGCCGAAACGTGGAAAGCTCTGACGGCTCACAAAAAGAAGGAAAACTTTCACGTGATTGATTTGCTAACGTTGGACAGTCACAAACAGATGTATGTGATTGGATCGAAAGTACTCTCACCAGAGAAGAGAATTAAGTTGGGTAAGACAAAACAATTAATTAGTTTCCAAGTTAATGTTTCGTGCAAACAATCTTGAGAGGTCGTCGAAATGCAACTGCTCGACAATGTGACGCCTCCTCTTCTAAACAACCTTGTCTTCAAAAAGTATTCTCTAGTTTTTAACCAAAAAAAAACATAGAGGCTTAATAGCTATACCGAGAAAAATATTAGTGAGTAGAAAATTTACTGAGTAGAAAATACTTCCATGCGATAATCTATTAACATTTTTCTTGAGTTTTCTGCCATTCATTTTGTCCTATTCCAATCGATTTCAATTGACTGATTCTTCTTGCCGCGAATTGAGGTGGAACTTTGGACTCTTTGGTTTATTGGACAAACCGAGGAAAATGTTTTTGCCTGAAACACACACCTTAATTTAGTGTTCTTCCTTTCAACGAGATTTGGTTTTCAATGACATTTTTCTTACAATGAAACTAATTTGGTCGTGACTTGAGTCCGTTGCACAGGATTTTGCGTGGCTTAAAGCTTACATCAATATTGCGTGTTTGGTGTAGATAAACCACCTGAACATGCTTTTACTTTTTAACATTTTACTGATAGCTTGTCCAAATTAGGTGTTACATATAGCAAACCATATAACATCTATATGGTTTGTTACATATAGCAAACCATATAGACGAAAGAAATTTAATATCACTCTCGTGTCACCTAATTTCGTGTTGCTTTTTAAAATTCTTTTTGAAGTTATTATAACCCGGAGACACTTCTGGTATTTAATTTCTCATACTTTCGAACTAAATTTTTTCTTCAGATACAGTAGAATGTTACCAAAGTTTTTTTTTTTTACTTTCAGCTTTGATTTCAGTTGATTTGTTTGTTAAATCTTTCTTGCTTGCTTAAAAATTTTACATTTTGTTCACGCTCAATTTTTTTTTTCGCGTTTTGATTTTTCGCGCAGTAATCAAAAAGGGCTTTTCCAAAACCTACCCATTTTTTTTTGAATTTTGTGCAAACTACTTTATCCAATAGAAATCGCATGGAGTCGATTTTAATTGAATCATTGTTCTCGCCTCGAAATATGAGTGGTCTTAAAATTGTTCCAGCTTAGAATTTATTTTTTCGCGGCTTGAATTTTGTTTTCTTTTTAAGCTCAATTGGGTTTCTTTGGTAAGAAGAAACCAAACTTCACTAACGAACAAAAAAACTAAACAGGCCACAAAAAAGGTGATTGAATTCTAATTTCGAAAACTTAGAGTCATGACTTCTGTTTAATTTATTCACTATTTTAGTTATTAACAATAGATGAACGTTGTCAAGCCTCTTATGTGGATCGTGATAATTTTTTTCAAAAACAAAATCTTTCATTTTGTTGCGGCTTGAATTTTGTTCTCGCTTCAATTTCAGTTCTCTTCTGTTAAAGGGATAGTAAATTCCAATATCAAACAGCAAAAGTGTAAAAATCTCGAAAAACTGTTTGTGTTTCAAAAAGTAATTAACTTAAGCCAGTTTTCTCTAAATGGGATAATTTTAAAAAGGAAGCGCCCATGATAAACAATTCTTCATATCATACTTTTAAAATGATAAATCCTTCCAAAAAATTTTTGTAAACCCTTCCGAATCGAAATTTAAAAAATGCTTCAAATTTTTCAATCAATGATTTTAGGTATCCTTTTTTCACACTTTTCCACCCAATCATTGGCTAATTTTTACTCTCTCGAGGGTGGTGTGATTATATCAGTCCTTTTTATGATTTGAAATGCAAGAGAAGGGTTGAGCTCTGGTTTCATGAGCACGAAAACACACCTTGAAAAAAACAGCAACATTTTTGTCTATAAAACCTTTGCAGAAAATTTGTTCTCAGCTCATTGTTCTGAACACTTAATTTCGAGGGTGTTTTTTTTTAATTTTTGTTTTCTTTTTCATGCTAAGAAAACGTGCTACAACTGAGGATCGGAGAATTTGTCAATTTGATTAACCTACTGTGCTGCAAAATTGTTGTCAAACTTGCTTATTTTACTGAATGTTGAATATGCCTTAAGTATAGTTTTCTTAGAGAAATTATTATCACACCACGCGAAAAAATGACACTAATTTGAAAAACAAAATTGATGCTTTTTTAAGACTGGTCGGAACATTCTCTTCCTTTTAAACAGTAAACGGCTAGCCATGTTTTCATTAGTATACAGTGCTGGTTTAAATTATCCGGACAAAACGAACAAAACTTGATTTTTCAAACGCGTTTTTCTCAAATTGGGTTAAGATTAGACAAAAAGTGAAGAGAACAAAAGTTGCTTAGAATTTCACCAGAATTAATATGGTGCTATTTTTTCTCAACAAAAATTTTACCCCGAAAAATGGGTCATTTTGGCTTTTTTCAATTAATGCAGAATTACGCGGAAACTACTTTGTTAATTGATAAGAAAGTTATATCACAGGAAGCCTCTTACGTACCTCAACAAAGATTAAGAAGGTTAAATCTCCAAAAACCAGTATAAGAGAAAAAATTAATCCTAACCCAAATTGAGAAAAACGCGTCAAAAACCATCATAATAAATAATCAAAAATAATCCATTCTAATTCATTACAGATGTAAATTTCAGACCACGAAATTGTTTATATTGCCAATATAATCGATTATTTTGAAAAAAAGATAATCCGTTATTATCAATTAAAATCGATTATAATCTATTATTTTCGGCACTCAAATCGATAAGTTTTGCCAAGCTAATCCATTATAATGGTTAATTTTAAAAAAAATACATTAAATCCATTATAGTCGATTGTAATACATTTTATTCCTAGAACTAATTTCGATTAACTTTGCAGAAATTTTCCAAATTTTGCGGGAAGTTTTCAAAATGTATGCTTTGCTTTTTACTATACGCCATGCTTCAACGTCACTCCTCACTAAAGAGGGGAGCGGTAAACTGGGGGTGTCAATCATTAACCCCCTCCCCAAAAAAACCAATAAATAACCCCTCACCCCTTGTTCAACTATAAAGGGGGGTGGCATTGAATGGCAGTTGTGGTAAACGTGGTAAACTGGCAGGGGGTAAACGCTTCACTAATTACCATGCTTCTTTTTGCGGTATATTTTTTTTGCGCTCAAAATTAGGCCAAAATTCAAAGATTTCTAACTGGTTTTACTCGACACTGGGAAAATTTTTGAAGAATTTTTCAATTGTCATTTCAATCATGACTGAAAAGGCTTTAAAATGATATATAGCTCGACCCATTCCGGTCATTATTTGTGGTACCTGACTTTCCTTGAAAAACAAAAATTAAAATCTAAAAAAAACTAAAACACCCAATTTTAACGTTCCTCATCATTTCCAACAGTCGGAACAAAGAGTGATAAATTGAGGTAATTATGGGAACTTTAAAAAACATTGATTGGTTCCGAATTTTGGCGCTTACGAACCTTCGCGCATGAGAATAGCCCCTGACATTACTCTATGAAATGTCCTAATATCGCCACATTTCATGATCAGTTTCAAAGAGACTAAAGTATGCCCACTTTTTTGTTCTATTTATCATGTTTATTTCTATGGCCACCTACGTTTTCCCCTCGTCGCTGTTAATTTTTACAAAGTTGTTTTGAAATTGTTAAATTTTTAAATTTCAGCAATTTTGAAAATCTTCATCTACTTTCATCAGTGAATACCCACTTAGTCGTCGTATGTGGTTCAAAATCAGCCGAAAAAGATGAAGGGCAGAATCATATTCGAGAGCTGCGTAGTTCATTTGAGGAGTGCTTGGTTGAGAAGCGTCACCACAACCTACCCATTTTAGACGTCTTTGCCGGTGGATCCGATGCTGATATTAACAGGTACGGAAACTCTAAATTAGGCAGAAAGTTTATGTGGGTACCCAAGTGGCAGATCTAGGACTTTGTCGAATAATGCGCAGATTTTCTTGAGGCAATAAAAACGTTCTTGATAAAGGAAGGTTTTGACCAGAACAACGCGCTTTTTCTGCGTGCGATACCCATGTGGTAACTTGATGGACTTAGATAAAAATTAGTGAAGATTTAATTCATCTTGAGAGTATAAATAAACAAGTAACATCAATATATCATGTCATGACAATTAAATTGTGTCTACTTAAATCTTGCATACGTTGACTAGAGAGAGTGAAAAAATAAAATGCGCAGAATTGAACCGTTGTTTGACAGGTCGATAACGACCTTGATATCCAAAAACAGATTACCGAACTAAGATAAGTATGACGTCATGAATAATACAAACTAACACTGCACCACATTTCCCCCTCCAGAGAAAAAATCAAATGGTACATATGAACATAAATGAAAGGTAACAATTGTGATAACAGTTTAAAGCGAGAGCTATGTAGCTATTGATAAAGGTGAAGTACTCAAACAAATTTTGACGAAGTTGCTAATGCGAGATTAATGGTTATTGAGTTTGAAATGACTGATTTTAATTTTCGTTTTTCTCATCGGGTTGTCTGACGACGATTTAGCAGTTGGGAAACGAGTGTATATCCTATGGCCTCACTGGATGAACCCACCATAAGCGGTTCCACTTGAGCAGATTCCACTTGGCCGGCGGCTTGGGCGAATCGGACCTTCTTATCCGGAGAAATCACAACTGGACTCCTTGAAACTTGTGGCAAATCAGATGGTGAATCAATAAAATTCACAGAATGCCGAATTTGGCTGCCGAAAAAGAAGTTTATTTTTTTGACGACACGATGTGCGAGAGGAGTTGGATGCCGAAGAAATATTGATATCGTTATCCGAGCCAGTCGCCAAAATACGGCGACCTGAAGGGCCTGGTACTGGGTACTGCCGAATTCGATCCCTCAGAGCACTCTTGTGTTTTCGGGACTGAGGAATCATCATCTGAATCATCTGAGGAGGTTGGAATCAGATCCGGGCAAGTCATAATTGAAGATTTTGACGGTTCGACGGTGAAGGAGCCTGAGCTTTAGTGCCCGACGCATCCAGAAGTAAATTTCTGACGTAGAGGAACAGGCCGTAAGGTCCACAACAGGAGTA